AGCTTTATCGATGTCTTCTGTTTGAATAACACTTTCTCTTTGCGCTAAAGATCGTGTTGCATAACGAGTCAGGCGTATATCACCGAGCCTCGCGAGGATGAGAGGAAGGTTTGGATGGTCCTTTGGTATGATATTAAGTGCAGTTTGTAATGCATCAATACCATTCTCGGCGTCTTCGTCACGCGAGAAGGCGTTGTAGCGGGTAAGATAGGCCGTACCGAGAATATTAAGGGTTTCTGCCTTCATTAAATGATCGCTTGGTGCCAATTCTACCGCCTGTTGGGTGCATAAGATTGCCCTTTCTATGTCTTCCTCGGCGCCGAGAATACTGAATCGAAGGCTAAGGCCATAGCCGAGGTTATTCAATACCATTGGCATGGTTCGAACGTTGTTGGATGATAGCTCTAGTGCCTCTTGGAGCGCTCCAATGGCATCTTCCAGATCTTTTCGGAATTTTAGGCGGGTGAATCGCATGTACAGTGCCAATCCTAGATTGCTCAGGGAATGTAATCTTTTTGGATCACCCTGCGGGGTGTTCTCGATGCTGATCCTTAGAACTGTTACTGAACGCTCCAGAAGCTCTAGACTCCCCAGACGTTCTGATTGTCTGAAAAGAATATAGCCCAGGGTATTGCATAGGTTTTGAAGGGCGATAGTGTCGCCGTTAGCGAGGTCGAGTCCGGCTTGTAACACTGAAATAGCCTTTTCCATATCCTCTACATTATTGAGGTGGTCGTATTTTTTTACATATACTTGCCCGAGATCGTTCAAGTATATTCGTTTGTTGGGGTCCCTGTCTGGTACCAAGTCGACGGCGACTTGATGCATTGAGATCGCTGCTTCGAGGTCGTCTACAAGACCAGAGTCTCCAAATCGGGCAAGTAGGGTTCTTCCAAGCATGCACATTATGGATGGCAGATTGGAATCCCCGTCTTCGAGTATTGAAAGAGCTTCTTGAATGGCCAAAATCGCCTTTTCGATAGCTTGCCTATCTTGAAAGCATTCAAACCGCTTTGCATATGCGCCGGCAAGGTCCTTTAAGAGCATCGCTCTCTCTGGGCCTGACCCAGACGCTCTGGCCAGTAGAAATTGTCGTATTGATATAGCCTTGTCGATGTCAGCGGGATTATTCGAGCGATCAAATCGCATGGTAAGTCGAGTAGCCAACTCTGTCAAACACGTTGTTTTGTGTGGGTCTTGATCTGGCATTGACTGGGCGCTGCTTTCCATTGTAGATATAGCTTTATCCAAGTCTTCGGGTATGCCAAGGTGATCAAAACGCTTCGCAAAACAGAGTCCAAGGGGACCCAATAGTTTCTTCTTCTTGGGATTATCGGGCGGCAATAAATCTATGTACAGCTGCAATGCAGCCGTATATTGTTCCAGAACGGGTAAGCTATTCGTATGGGTGTATAGCATCGTTAGTACCATCACGAGGTATCCAACTCGATTTCCCATTTCCGGATCAGACTCCTGAGTGGCTTGTACTGACATTTGTAAGAGCGAGACCGACCGCTCTAAATCGTGGGTCTGCTTGAGGCGCATGAAGCGAGAAAATAAAGCATATCCAAGGTTTCCACAAGTATGTGCTCGACTGGGGTTATCATCGGGAGTCATTTCGACCACAGTTTGCAGCAAAGAAATTGCTTCTTCATCTTGCACGTTGCCCTTTAGCCTGAATCGTTTGAGAAGACACGCCCCTAGATTATTCATTGTCCTTGTGATATCGTAGTGGACCTCCACTGTTTCCATATCCCTCCTTAAGAACCCAATACGATCATCTAGCTGAGGATCTGTTCTGGACTCGGCGCCAGAAAGTAGAAGCCCTAGAAGGCGATTCATCTAACCTGCAAACCCGAACATGTAAGCAGATGTGTGGTATACCAGACGAATCACCTAACTAGCTGGGTTCAAATGTGGTTGTAGAGAGAGGAAACCCTGCTTGAGCGTCTCCTCACCCTAGCCTTGTCAAGGCCGAGATGTCCCCGCGATCATTGACCGTCCGCTGGACTCACACAGGTTCGTAAAACAAGCTTCTCATATGAACCCCACTCTTCGGAGGCAGTGGGCCATATGAGCATTTCCACCTGGAATTGACCATGGTAAGTCAGGGCTCATCTGCAGGGATGAGTGGGCCATTGTCACACAAGGCATACCCTGTAAAGGCGGGGTGTGATAGATGAAACAGATAGGCTGGACCGTCGGCGCGATACCCTACTGCGCATGCAATAGTGAGCCTCTTCGGAAGTAGGACTATCGTTTAGAAGCAAACTGAGACTCAAACCTAAGCTTGGTATGAGTGAATGAGGTCAAGCTGCGGCCTAGTCAGTGTACACGCATGTGTATAACAAGGGCAAGACTTCTTATTTGATTTCCCGTCATGAAATAAAGAGATAAACCTTCGATGTGTGGGATAATTCCCATTGAACTGGTCATGTCGAAAGCTTGGGCAGCCTTCGCTGTCATATCGACGTTTCGGCAGATTTTCCGATAGGTGATTGCCAGTCGTGTGACCAGTTCTCCCTGTGCTACGAGTTCACTTCCGAAGGAAGCATACAAGCAGGGCATAAAAGGTACGAGAAGCATAGGATGAGGCTGGCGAGGGAGATATGCTATCGACTGGCATGACCTGCCAAACGGAACACTGGACTGCCATTCTCATCCCGGTCTCACAAGAATAACATTTGGATCGGGTTTGATACCGACGTTGTTTGCGAATGAGGGTCTCTATCGTGGGTAGGTCCGAAAAGCCAAGAAGGGGCAAACAAAGGGCAAACAAAGCCGTCACTTAGGCCTCTACCACTTGCCATGAAAATATTCTCCAATAGATGAGAAAACATTGCTACCAGCTTGAAGAATGCAAGAGGCTCTCAGGAAACGTCTTTTGAGGGTTCACTTTCGATAGTCGTCTCCCGTGGGAGAAGTCAAGGAGTGAACTGGCTCCGAACCGAGAGGAATGAACAGGTGAATCGAGATTGCACTGTTAATCAGATTCTATTCATACAGTTGGTAAGGATGTGTGTCTACGAGCGCTACTCCGCATGAATTGACATCCTAACGGAGAGACTGATGCACTGTGTGTGATGATCGGCTTCTCTAGATAAGGATCAAGGTTTGGGATGTGTCATTCGTCAGCACTCTATAGGCTTTGTGTCGAAGAACTCTCGTGTGGACATCGATTAGAACGGCACTGCTCATTGGATACAACAATAGGACTATGAACCCGGCTGGTTAGGAGGGAACCAAATGATCATTCGACATATGGTAGGCCCCAACGGTAATTTTATGTGGTTTCCTATTCATCTTCCCTATTTCTGCTTGTAGCTCGGCCGATGATAATGGAAGTAAGCGAGAGGTGCACGCACCAGGAAAGGATAAGAGCTTTCGAATGGCTTTGATGAAGAGATGGGTCAGAAATATTCTGTAATTCCATCCATTATGCCTCGTAAAGAAAGGCTCCGCCCCAAAGCCCGAGTCACCTCCACTGTGAGCGTGCCTCTCGGCAAAAACGGAAATCCGAGGACAGTCGAGCAACTCCGTGTCCTGAGAGAAAGGCGAGAGAAGCAAAGGGCTGAAGAAGATAAGGAAATGGAGGTTGAAATGGCGGCGGCGACAGCCGCAGAAGAGGAGAGGATTAAAAAGGAGCGCAAAAGACTAAAGCAACAAGAAGAGCGACAAAAGAGACGGGAGGAACTCGATCGCAAAAGACGTGAGCGAGAGAACATGACAAAAATCCGCCATGCACCAGCTGCAGACAAGTACATCAAAGAGGTGACATCCTTGGTTGAGAAGTACGTTATCCTTTTATCTTATCTTTTTGTCTAGATATAGGTCGATATTGACCCATACAGGTATAAAAACGTTCGCTGTGACCTTTGCATCCAAAACAATGCCGTTTGTGCATGGAGCAAGTTACCTCTCAGCTTTCGTTGTGATCGGTGCTCCATTGCTGGAAGATCGATGAACTGTATTGTAGACAACGACGGGGTCAAGAAACGAAGGGACGAATGGTGGAAGCCGTTTCCCAGGGGGTTCCAGGTCAACCCACCCTTCATAATCCATCCAGCCGGGTCCTCCGAAGAGGTTCAAAACCAATTAAATCTAGAGGCAGATGATGTGATGGTACATTCGCCCATGGACCCTGCAGCTGTTGGACAAGAAATTGGTGACAAGCTCGACACAATATTGGATACTTTGCGTCATATATTAGGAATCCAAGAGAGGATACTTGGTATCGGTGCTAAATCGGTCCCAGAGACGGATGCAAGTGATCCTAAGCGAAAGCATTAGAACATTAGCGGCCATACCGTTGCGAGATATTGTATAGACCTAATGAATCACGAGCTTTACACGTTGGTTTCTACTGTGAATTGCTTTGAAATCGTCATTCTCCTTCAAAATTTGAACTCTAGGGGTGCATTAAATTTCATTCTAGAGCTCTAAGGGCGTGATGTGTCGAATAGCTTCGTCTATGTCATAGCCTCTGCAATTTATGAGCTATCCTTATCATTGAGCTTATTCAAATGCGAGCGCTCCGATGCGGGCTCTATTAGTATGTTGGAGGCAGCGGTGTTTTGATCATGGAATCGTCCATGAACCCGTCGGCCATTCTCGTCCGCTCGAGCCGCGAGCATAGCCGTATTAAAAGCCATGTTGTTGAAAGGTCCGCCGCCCACAAAGGCCACCACCCCACAGATCATTCCTTAATTCCCCACACAATGTCGGCCTTCTCAGGTGATATGCAGCCGGTTATCTCTGGGGTGGCGAAACCTGAGCGCCACCACTCAGTGCACCCATGATAGGTCAGCCTCACCCTCTGAGCCCAAAAGAGTAATAAGGAGGATACCAATTCCAAGGGTACAATAATATGATGCTCAAGAGCTACAAAGCCCCAAATTCAATTCCATTTGGCTCATCCGTGGCACTTGTATTCCATCGTGGAGACTCTAGGGAATGCCTAACAACACGTTTTTCACGGTCATCTCCAGCCCTAGTATATCCAATTACCCATTGACACACCGCAGACGTACAGGCATGACCCCCGCAACCTTAAACGCAGCACTCTGCAACCAAGAGCAAAAGCAAGGCTGGGTCTAAGACCAAATTCGTTGTTAAAGTCACGCCCACCAAGTCCAATGGGATCAGGGCCACTTCTAAAGCTAAAGAAAAGTCCGCGTCCAAGTCCAAGTCGGCCAAAGGCGAGGTGAACGCACCGAAGACCAGAGCTACTACCAAGGGAGGATCACCTGTGACGAAGCCCAAGACATCTACTTCCAGACCTGCGAACCGTGGAGGCGCGAAGAAGGCCAATGTATCGAAAGCTCGACCTGCGCCAGCGAAAAAGGCCACTCAGCCCAAGAAGAACTCGGCTACGAGACCAACTGCGCAAAAGAAGGCAGCACCAAAGCAAGCCGCACCTAGGAAGCAAGCGGCTCCCAAAGCTGCACCCAGGCCAGCAGCAAAGCCCGTCCAAAAGGCTGCTCCCAAAAAAGTGACAGCCCCTGTCAAAGCTGGCAAGAAGCCACGGTAAACAGTAGGCAGGCGTCCTTATTAGGAGCAGTACCTTGGTAGATTAGATGCATCTATTCTTTTGTATATACATGACTTTGATGCACGCCTCAATCAAACTGACTATTTATGAAACACAACTTGATCATTTGAGTCTATCAGTTGGCCTTTTACTGTAAACACGAAACCCACCCAAGCTTCTAGTAGACAAACTGTGCACCCCCCTTTCCACGCTAAAAGACCCGAGTCACTCCAAACCCTAGCGACGCATTTCACCTCAGAGCCTTTGATGTGTGGTGGAGGTTTCCTGATATCATAGCCAGACGTCCCAAAATGTAAACGCACCGAGACGCGTCGGTGGCAGCGGTGCATCGTGAGACTCTGCCGTGAAACTCGGCCATTCAAAGGACCACCACTGGGTCAACAAAATGCAAAGAAATTCAGACTATATGAATAATAGATTGATTTAGAATGCCGAATTAGCATCCAGAGAGCAAATACCACCAACACGTCGAAAGGCTACCGCTTTCAGGGTCTCCGCTCCGGAGATCATCACCCCACCTCTCACACAAAGTCACCACCGCAGGCGATGCGTAGCCAGTGATCCCTACGACTGCTTTGTGGGCGTGCGAGCCCGGCTTTGAGCGCGCAACAACTCTGTGCAAACCTTGCAGGCCGTTTCACCATCTGGGTTGGAAAAGAAAGGTAAAGAGTCAATACTACTCCCAAAAAACGAGAACGCGAAGACTAGCGGCCCATGAGAGTAGGACCCTAGTGCCTTGGCCCATCCGTGACGGTTGTATTTCATCATAAAGACCATCGGAGAAGCCTTGACCCTAGGCTGTTTACGGTGATCCCTAGCCGGAGTATAGCCCATCTGGCCATCGGCAACCTGCGGGCGGTGCATCGCGTCTTGAACACCATCATACGGTAGTGGGCTACTATTTAACCAACGTCGAAATAATCCATGGATATCCAGAGCAACTTTTGCCCTCATTTCTCCACCTTGTCGACAGGTCGACACTTTACCCTTTCTCCTACCCCTTTTCTACTTTTTCCTTTCTTCCAGGTATGTATCTCCTGCGGACAACGGCGGTTTAACTGAATCGTTATCAGGTGCTAGCGCCTATCTTTTCTTTTAAATGTACATCCGTTCTCTGGTGACCCTGCTCC